TGTTGCCATAGATGTGTATGTATAAAGTCTGGAATACAAAATAAATGGTGGTCCCTTTTGGATAGACTTGTCTTCGATGATTAATAAAAATAATATAAGTATTAAAAAACATGAAAAAACAGTGTGGCCAATAAAGCAATACATAATAAATAAAAAATACGAATGCATGTCAAAAAGAATATATTCAATACTAGCTGCAAGGGGCCGCTTCGCTGGGTTTTTATTTGTATGTAATATAGTTTTTTTTTTATATATATATAAAAGACTGTTTTTCTAAGTAATCTAGAATCTAGCTGCAAGNCAGGTAAATTACTGTACACAGTGTATTCATTAATTTTCATTTTCATGTAGTAAAGGCTCTATGCCTTCATAAAGTACGTACTTTTCCTTTGTTTAAGGGTATTTGAGCAGTTTATTCTCTGTTGTATTCTCCAGCAAACAATACATACAAGTACAGTACACTATTTTCTGAGGAAACACGCATACTTATCCTTTATTAACCCCATTCCCGATAACCCAGCATTTTCACAAACTCGGCCACCCTTCGGTCCACATTAGGCCGAGTTTTCGAGGTTCTACTGTATTATAATAGCAGAACAAAATAAATGACATTTGAATTTATAAGAATATGTTAACTAGAATAAAATAAAATATGCAATTATCAATTAAGTTTTTAATGATTATTATTTCTGACTTTGTTTTAGTATACTAGGAATTTGGAATGTATATTTAAAGTTTCAACAAAAACAGTTAAAGGAAGGTATTTAAATATGAAAGTTATCGTTCATGTGTTTTATAGTTAACAATTTTTTCTTTTTTCTTTTATGGTGGAAAAAAAATTTAATGTTTAATTTTTAATTTTCAGTAAAATTACCAAATGCAAAACAATGGCTTCCTGTCTTGAAAGATTATTTAGAAAACCACATTTTAAATCTTCATATCTTACAAGAATTAAGGTAGTATAGATGTTTATAAAGAAAATTATCTATACCTAGATCCTATTATGTGAATGTTTGCTTTATGAATCTTTTTCTTAAACATGAAGAATTCTTATCGTAAAATATTTTACAGAAAACCACATTTTAAATCTTCATATCTTACAAGAATTAAGGTAATATAGATGTTTATAAAGAAAATATAAAGAACAACTGATCCAAAGGATCAAAAGAAAGAAATAAATAATGTCATAAAAATGTATTTACTTAATGGGTATAACAGAAAAATCATTAATAGGTGGTTAAAAAATATCCAAATTCTAAACCGATGCATTGATCTCCACATTTATATAAGGGAAACCAAGAGGAAACTCTGAACAAGATTCATGGAGCACATCCAAGAAATAAAAAATAATGATGATAAATCTATGGTTGCTAAACGCTAACCAAAATGGATGCAAAACAATGAAAGAAAATACTAAAGTACAAAAGCATAAATAAAATATTGAAAAAATTAAAAGAAAATTATTCAAACATTTAAAAATTACAAAAATAAACAAAAATACAGGCATATATGAATCTTGGGAGGGTTCCCTAACAGATACAGAGTGAAAAAATAAACTTAACACATATTTGTGAGCCAGAGGGAAACACACTCAAAGAAAAAGTAAATGCAGATGTATAAGTGAGATGTAGTTTGTAAATTTCCAGTGTATAAAATCATGATGCAGTATGGATTCATCAGATTCCAGGTTTTTGTATTGAATAGTACAGAATTTTCTTTCCAAATTTGTGTTTCCAGGATAAAATGTACCCTTTTAGTGGTTTTTGTTACATATAAGTATGTATGTTGAAAAGTTTTTACTAAAAAAATAATAAAGTATGTGCATATACCTAGAAATCCAGAGAGATCTATATGTTGTGACTGAGGAGGGACCTGTTAGGTCTGAAATGAATATCATAATAAATACAAAGAAAATCATGTCTCAAGGTCATTCTGTCCCATGGCTGTCCAGTTTGATAAGTTCGTCAATAAGAAAAGTGTACTAGCACAAAACAAATATTTCTAGAAGTCATCCTAGTGTGTTTAAAATGTTCAATCTCAAATGTGCTCAATGGTACAGGTGATGATGCTCTGTACGAAGACAGCGACAAAGAATCAAGTGACAATTAATCTGAGTCATCTGACAGCAACTGGACAATTAAATGGTATAAAATCTATTCCTTACACTTAATAAATTTTCATTTTTTTATTTATTTTACTTTTCAATTTCCTATGATCTGCTTACAATCAGTTTCAGCTTATAATCAAATAAATACAGTATTTGTAAAACAAAAGCTGGTCTTAATATATAATTATTTTATTGAAATCAGGTAAGCCCAACCTAAATCTAATTACTTCTGGATATGGAATGTATGGAAAAGTATTTAACTTATTGTTAACTATGAGAATCTTGGTAATTCCAGTTATTAGTCCATTGATTTGTATTGGCAGGTAGCAGACCATATAGAAATAAAGTAATTAATTATTAATTGAAAGTTTGTGAAATATAGAAATCACAGTATTGAAGGAGATGAAAGTTTTATGAGATGTCTCTACATAATCCTCCGCATACTAACAGACTTCTTATTAACTTATTAATATACAGTTTAAATGTTAGCTTTTTATCAAGCATTATTCCTAAATCATTAGTATCAATATATGATAGTGGTTGGTTATTAGCAATAAATATAAAAATGGCTGAGGAACATAACAGAGAATAAACACACTGCAAAGTTTTTGGAAATACTGATTCTAAGATTTAATTTTTGAAGTTTGTTGACTAGTGATTATATCCTCTTGTAATTAGTGATGTAATGAATATTCGTTTACTATTCGGTATTCGGCCTATTTTTCACTATTCAGCCAAATACCGAATATTTAATCACTATTCGGCCGAATACCGAATACCTAAAAACAGGAGTAAGAAATAACAAAAACACAGTAAATTAATCATTTTGGTATTTAGATTTAATGTTATCGGGTTAGTGTTGTTTGTTTATATTTATTTATAACTTGTAACATGCACAAAATAAAAAAGAAAATAATATTAGTCGCGTGTATTCACAATTCATAATTACAAAGATCAGCACATGTACACGACTATCGTTGGAGAATCCTCACACATCTGAGGGTCTGGCCCTGCCTATACTTTTTAATTGCTCGTCTTTGCTCTTTCCTTTCTCTTTCTTCCATCTCTATAGTCCATGTATGCCTATGCATACATCATAATACGCACTCACGATACTTTCGATTTGTCACTTTTCCGTCGTAGTATTTCCATTTTATAATTATTTGACTCATAGCATGGTGATAACGGAGAAAAGAGACAGATAGGACGTCGGTATATGTCACAGTTATGATTTCACAGATTTGAGACAGCTTGGTAGCCTGAACAGCCCCAGGCTTTCGCCCGTGCACACTAAGTGACTTTCATTACAAGCATTTAGCTTTCCAAAGTCTATGACAAGAACTGTTTGGCATTGACGGGCACAAATTTCATGCCAATAAGCTGCTTCGACTTGTTCGATTATGTTATCAACTCAATTTCATATTTATTTTCATTTTCTCTTCACGGTCCTTCTCTATTCTTTTTCTGTTATTTACACGTTTAGGTCATTTCATTGTTATCCACATTTGATATCATAATTTATCACATACTGCCATGATGCTCTTGTCTGTCTGCTACAACTGTCAAGAATTAACGCGATTGGCGAAGCGTAGTGACAGTGGGCCAATAGAGAGCAGGATCCTTGCCATAATGCAGTTTGTGCGCCAATTTTCGTACGTGCATTAATCAAGCCGAATAGTTTGGCCGAATATACTATTCGTTGCAACACTACTTGTGATACTTATACATTATTATTTATACATTTAAGATTATCAGTATATATGAGATTTGAACTAAATACATTTAAGACATTATTTATTCTTTACAGAATATTTATATATACTGTAGAATAGGTTATATAAAATGGATCCCTGCTGAACTTGTTAAGCCTAAAATATGTTTTTGTTAAAATTTATCTAAAAATTAACATAATTACTGTATTTACTCACATATAAGACAATCTCTTATATAGGACAAAATGTGACTTTAAAGATCAAAATAAAGAAAATTAGATTTATTGATACAATTCTAATTTTATTTCGTTTAATCACAAATAAAATATCAAATGAATGTATGAAGGCAAATAACTATGTTTTCTTGACACTATCACCTTTTGTCTATTCGGACTCGCTCTCTGAAGCTTTGTTATAACTCTTCTCTTTTTCACTTTAACTCCACAAAGCATCATCCTCTGATCCATCTAGTTAATATGAAATGCAGTATTTCTTGAATGACTTTGCTATCAGCTCTTGAGGAATGCTTTTCTACAAACCTGATTTCCACATATTAAAACCAAAAGATTATAATGAACATGACCGGAAAAAGTTTATTTTTAATGAATCAGAATGTACAAATATTCATTTAAAACATCAATTTAACAAATATAAAATAACTACATTTATAATCGTTGCTAAGTAATCAGATATTTTTGGACCATCTCTTTTGAAAGCGACATTCCCCTTGACCTTAATAGCATCCTGCTATAATACACTGTTCACTAGAAATTATTACAAAATCACAAAGAATCCTTTGCTCACATGTATAGGACAAACTAGATTTTTGAAACAGTGAAAACCTCGTCTTATACACAAGTAAATACAATATATTGTGTTACAAATACACACTGAGAAGCAATCTTGTTCCTAAAATGCATTTCTATGAAATGTAGTAATACTTGAAAATATAGGTTTTTGGCAAGCTTACCTGCTGTAATATACAAACTATGTCTATATAGCCATATACATATAGTTCATATATTATAGTATAAATAATAAAAATAAAAAAAAGTCTTGTTCTAATAATGATAGTGAATAGGTATTAAATCATATCAAACTTTTCATAAAATATAAATTTTCATGTTATAATGCATCAATATCATAAAAATTAAAATTTTAAGAAAAAATAAAACACTAACCTGACTACAGCATTAAAAAGTTTGGCTTCCCGTATTCTTAGAGTATCTCTTTCTAATACAACACACAATGTATCATGATCAATGTCTGTAAATCCTTCTGCTGCCAAAGCCTCAGAAGTATACTTGTCAATAGTTTCTAAACAAAGAGCAGCAAGTTGTGGTTCATCAAAGAGCCTTGCCTGAGTTAACAACATAAATGCATTATCACTACTAAGATTTGATTTCAAAAAATCGACACAAGCCTTCTCTAAAGCAGGCACAGCATATTTTTTGGCAGTATATAATGTCATCATCACTGTTTCTGGTCCAATCTGAACTTCATCTGAATAAAGGAAACGAAGCAAAGCTAAAAATGCTGCTGGTTCTACATCAGGAAGTTCAATTTCTTCAGATGTAGTGGCCATAGCACCATTAAACATAGCATCAAACACAGCACTTCCAACAGATAAAACAAATTTGTGGGCAGGTATCCTCTGTTGCTGAACTCCTTTACCCACAATAAAATGAACATCACTTAATATTTCTTTATTAAATATAAATGCTAAACGATCTTTAATAGTAGGTTTAGAGGCTTGCCAATTAAACATTACATGGCTAGCATAATTTACTGTTCCAGCATTCACTGCAGCAGTGACTGCAGTGTTCAAAAGAGAGTCATCATGGCTTCTTCGATTTCCACTTTCTCGATCTCTATTTTCTCTGTCTCTATGATTTCCTGGTACATTAACTGGAGCTTCGAGAACGTCTAGGCAAATATTTGAAGGGATATTTGTATGTGGATTGCTAGAAGACATGTTAGAAGAATTTCTAAGATCTACTAATTCACTGTGATTAAAAACACAGTTATTGTTTTGAAACCTGCAACAAAAATAAAAACAAATGATTTTTCAAAAATATTATAATACATATTTTGTCAATTATAACTCATAAATAATAGAAATTTATTAGACGTCTGTAAAATAAAAATCAGAATTCACTTTAATAATAGAACTAAAAATTTTCTAGAAGTAGATCACGCATTGTCAATACAATTTTTAATTCAATTTAAACTTTGTTCATGTATGAGTAATTCAAATGATTGATAAATAAAAACTATTTCAAAAGTACAGTTTAATATTAATCCTTCCTATTTCAACAAAAATTACACATAAATAATATATATATATATATATATTCGTTCAAGCAATGCCAGGCTCATCTGTTAGTGTATATATATGTATATATATACACTAACAGATGAGCCTGGCATTGCTTGAACAAAAAATAACGATAGCAAAGATTAACTAGAAAGAAATATTAACACTGGAGTTGATAAATTACCCAACTTCACTGCCTGTAATCGGTGTTCTTCTTCTCCAAAGCAGAGAACTTTGCAAACGTTTTCGAACCTAATGTGGTTCTTCTTCAGCGCCTGAAGAAGAACCACATTAGGTTCAAAAACGTTTGCAAAGTTCTATGCTTTGGAGAAGAAGAACACCAGTTACAGGCAGTGAAGTTGGGTAAGCAAAGATTAAGATTATTAGATTATAGCCGATCTTACCCGTTTTAACTGAGTGCAAGAATTAGGTCCCCCCACTTCCGAGACTAAGTAGAAAATTTTTAGATATCTGCTTACCACACTGGGATAACGATAATTAAGATTCACAGCAACCACTAACCAGTGCATAGTACCACAAAGAGATAAATAACAAATGTTTTTGTAACCCCTTCTGGGTTCTTCTTCAGGTTTACTAAATTCGAAAATTAAGCTGGATCTTCCCAAATCATTCATAAATATAAAATTGAACATTAAGACGAAGAGTTCAAATAAAGCGAACTTATGTGCATGCACTCCCTGTGTCAACTTTATGTACGATGGAACACTAAATATCGTTGAGAATTTTTAGAACGGTCTAAAAATATGTTTGATTTCCGGAATAAATCCAAAAAAAAAAGACATTTAAAACAGTACAGTAGAAGCCAAGTTCTTTGGGGTAATCCTTAACCTTCTCTCTCGCCCCTGTGGTGGGAATTTTGAAAAATCCCTTCTTAATGTGCATTCTCATGTTGTACCCTAACTGTATACCAAATTTCAACTTTCAACTCCTAACTGTTTGGGCTCTGCAATTATTATAATCATTATCAACCCATCTCAATTATATTATAAGATATACTGTATATATCATATCTAATGATGATAAAAGTTTCCAGTATTCATGATAAAATACTTTCCTTACTGGAACCACACAATAAATAAAAATCAACACCTTTAAACATCCAGCAAATCGTTTTTTAATATTTAAAAACGCTTTCGAACGCTTTAAGCGATCATCATCAGTTAACATTTGTGAATCGAACGAAGAAATTCGAAAATTACGTAAAACGAAATTCAAAAAGCGATTACATAAATATATGTAAATACGTTAACATTTACCAAGTTTAAATAATCTTAAGAATTATAAAAGAAATAAAATAAATTATATGCATCCAATAAAAATTATCTTATATAATCTTCCCGCTTACATACAGAGTGAGAACGAAATTCGAATTTCTTAGCCAATGTCGGTTGAATGGGGTTTTCCCTATGTCAATTCATCGCATCAGACTTCCTGTGGATTGTCGCAGTTTGTTGCCGAAGTTGAAGAATTTATGCCTCAATAAGGCCATCAGATGTACAAGACGCCTATATTATAGATTGCTGCACCATCTCATAAATTTGGAAAATGAACTTTATAAGGAGAATCAAGATCTTTTGAAGGAGGTTAATATCAGGGTGATTGCTTTATCTTACTCCTTAGAGAATAGGCTGAAACGCAAGTATATTAAGAAGCTAAAATGGCTATTCAAGCGCCATAATATTAAACCGAGGGTAAGAAAAACGATGTTTTTAACCGCTTGGGACAACATTTCTCCCCCTCAATGCTTGTTGAATGCTTTGGAGTACGGTCCTTGCTTTGCTCCTACACCGATAGTACGCCCGGAGGACATCATTCCGAATGTTGAATTGCTTGTAAAGAACATGAGTTTAACTATGCAGGATTACTGTAGATGGAAAGCGAGATTCCAAGCCGAAAATGAGAAACGAAACAACAAAAACGCGTTACGTTTCCAAACATGTATAAAAGAAACCAGAGACTGGCTCAGAAGGAATGATGTTGTACTCATAAAAGCGGATAAAACAAAGGGTATGGTGCTCATTAAGAGGGATTCATATAGAAGGAAATTGCATGAATACATTATTAGTACAGAATCACTTATTGCACCGAATAATTTTTTAGAAGCTTTACAACAAAGGGTGAGAAGATTTACGCTAACCCCTTTGGCCTGTCTTCTGGATATGGAGAGGGCTGTTGTGCAGACCCCGAGAACCCCAAGAATTTTCGCGTTCGGAAAGACACATAAGCCAGGAACACAGCTGCGCCCTGTTGTGGAGAAGTGTAATGCTCCTACGTTCAAGTTGGAGAAACAACTGGTTAAGTTTATACGGAAAAATATGCAAGACTCGCCTTTTTCGGTAAAAAATGCGGTGGAGTTGCTAAGAAAGTTGGAGGATGTCATGCTTATGGATAAAGAATGGATGACGGTTTTAGATTACAAAGCTCTGTACCCGTCAATTAAATTACCTCCCTGCTTTTGCGCCCTGAGAGACTTTTTGTTAGCAAAAATTAGCAATTCTATGAAATACCACATGGAGATCTTGGAATTGGCGGATTTAGTATGCCACACATCTTTCTTTCAATTTGAAGATAAAACTTACTTACAGACACGGGGCGTACCGATGGGTAGCCCCATGTCAGCTATACTCTGCGAATTAGTGTTGCGTAATCTCGAAAATGATATACTCCCCTCATTCCAGGAAGACATATTGGCTTACGCAAGATATGTGGACGATATCTTTATTTTATGGAAAGATAATCACAGAGTTAATCAGTTTTTAGATCGGATCAACGACAACCCGTATGGGTTAACTCTGGAGCTGGAACAAGAAAATGGAAGCATTGTTAATTTTTTAGATTTAACTATATCTTGCAAAGATGGTGAAATCGGAACAGATATATACCGGAAACCTACTTATCTTCCTATCGTCATTCCTAGGAACTCCGCAGACCCTGAGCATATAAAAATGGCCGTTTTTCGTTCGTGGATAAGGAGGGCACACACGCATTGCACCAGCGTCTGCGACACTTACAAAGAATTAGAGTATATAAAAAACATGGCGATGCAGCAAGGATACCGTAGAGAAAGAATAGATGCCCTCATCGCGAATTGTCGGAAGCGACTCCCCTCTCAGGGAGGGAATCAACGCAAAGAGAGAATCGTACTCAATTACATACCGTTCCTTAAAGGAATGGTTAAGAAAGTTACCAGGGATAAGGATGTACGGATAGTTTACAAACGTAATCCCACCGTATACAGGCTCTTAAGGAACGATAAAGGCAATTACGAACGCAGCGCAATGGCAGGGGTGTACTCTATACCATTAAAAGACCGTAGATTTAACACCAATCTAGTGTACATAGGGGCAACCTTAAGAAACTTAAAGAAAAGGATTGCTGAACATAAGCAATCAGTCAATAAAAACATAGACTCTACGGTGCTTGCGGCCTTTGCCAAGCAGCAGAATATCGAAGTCTTTTGGGATCGGGCGTCGATCATTAAAGCCACAAAATCCAGGCAGGCTGTGAAACATCTGGAAAAACTAGAAATTCACAAGGCGCAAATGCACACAAGCTGTATTAATCATAGGGATGCTGACGGATTATCGTCGGCATGGAAATCCTTCTACGATGAGTGACGTAATTTATGTAAGCGGGAAGATTATATAAGATAATTTTTATTGGATGCATATAATTTATTTTATTTCTTTATTTAGTTTTATCTTTTATAATTCTTAAGATTATTTAAACTTGGTAAATGTTAACGTATTTACATATATTTATGTAACCGCTTTTTGAATTTCGTTTTACGTAATTTTCGAATTTCTTCGTTCGATTCACAAATGTTAACTGATGATGATCGCTTAAAGCGTTCGAAAGCGTTTTTAAATATTAAAAAACGATTTGCTGGATGTTTAAAGGTGTTGATTTTTATTTAGTATTCATGATATTTATTCTTTACGAAATATAAGTTTTAATAAAAGAAATTTTTTTAATATCCATATAATATATCATCAGATAACTTTTATTGATGTATTTATGTATGCTACATATTAACCTTCCATTCCAAAAATTAATGCAATAAGCCATTATAGGCCAAAAGTTACATAAGCAAATTTATCATATACAATGAGATCATCATCTGAACAAGTTAAGATATATTTTCCAATTAAAAGTACCCAATATAATTAACATTTAAAGAACTACACATTTAAATTCAACTTGGCATTATTATACATAAAACATAAAAAAATGTAACTGAATAGTGATTAAAACACAAACTTAATTTAAAATATTCTTTTTGATATTTTAGCATTTCTATAGGTAGCATTTTCTAATGTATGATATAATTCAAGAGACATTTACCTATGTTCTACATTTAAAGAACATTACATGTAACATTAATGCAGTGTTCACCCGAGAAATTTTTACTGGTTGGTTGGAATAAATAATAGTCAAGTGGGGAAAAAAATATTTTGCATATTAACTTGTGTGAATAGGAAATGGCATTGTGTTCCTTGTGCATCTAAATTGTGAAGTATTATACAGTTTTCTGCAGTGGCATGATGCCATTGGAAGCAGTGGATGCGCCGCTTCCCATGTATTTTCTAAAAAATAAATACATATTAATTTGAATTATATGAAAATAATCGCACAATATTTTATTATAACTGCATTATGTATCTTATTACAAATTTCTATACTACACATGAAAAAAGAAAA